ATGGAATCGCTCTGGATGGAAAACTGAAGCACGAGGACACTAACCTGGCCTCCTCTAGCGTGTGAGTGCGGATCATCCGCCATCTATACGTGGATAATCTGAACGTTTCAGCCCTGATGTTTCTTTTTCTCACTGTTCTCCTCAGCGTAAAGGATGAGGTCCTGAAGGAGATTCTGGGCATGTTGGTGGCCTATAGGGTGGTGGTGAAGTGTAATGCAGCGGGGTGAGTGAACACCAGTTTCGGCTCATATCTGTGTGTTGAGGAAAGGCTTTGCTAATGGCTTTATTTCTGTGTATTTTACTTACAGCGTCATTGGATCCACGTGAGTTTGATTTGGTGTAGAATTTTCTCAACTTTCAGAGTGTGTTAGTGTGTAAGGTGCAATCGTGTGTGTTTCAGTGAGGTTGCTGTGGAGGTTCCCTTCAAACTCATGCATCCCAAACCTGATCCAGGTGAGCTGATCACATACATATATTTCTATGCATATCATATAAAATCATATATGTATCATGCAAAAATGTAATAATAACCTATGCCATCCCATATTAAGTGCAGAAATTGTACCTGTTTCTTACCCATTTAGTTTATGCATGACTGACAACTATACATCACACGTTTGTTTATGCTAAAACAGTGTAATTTAAATGCATGCTCATTTTTGTGTGCATGTCAAAAGCATAAGTTAAGGCCTAAATGTTTTTGTGTGATTTTTACAGCCATTAATTTTCATCACAGAAAACGATTGCAAAATATCCATCGGTTCCTAAAAATGGTCGTACTAGCAAATTCCACTTGCATGAACTACATCAGTAATGAATATTAGAACAGAAATTATATACGAGTTTTGTTTGTACAAACTGAGGAAGGACTACATTATGTGTCAACTATCCTCTGAGGTAATAAACAGCTTGATGATGCATAAGTGATCATAAACATAAACCAAACTACACACAACTCACGACTGTAATAGAGCCTGATGTGAGCATTAATGATGCAATACTCTGATATGCATAAATCTTTCTAGCACACATATATATTGGGTAAAATGGTCACTGGGGTTTAAAACAGAGCTCATATTATTCTGAATTTGAATGGGATTAGAAGCTACGGAGGCATATGGCATTCACTTGAAGAAAAAAAATCTACTCTGTTTTTCTGAATTAACGAGTTAATTTTTCATGAGAAAAAAAAAATTTGCTCTGTTTTTCTGAATTAATGAGTTAATTTTTCATGAGAAATTTTTTTGCTCTGTTTTTCTGAATTAACGAGTTAATTTTTCATGAGAAAAAATTTTTTTGCTCTGTTTTTCTGAATTAATGAGTTATTTTTTCATGAGAAAAAAAGTGTTTGCTCTGTTTTTCTGAACTAATGAGTTAATTTTTCATGAGAAAATTTATTTTTGCTGTTTTTCTGAATTAACTCATTAATTCAGAAAAACAGAGCAAAAAAAAAATCCATTAAAAATTAACTCATTAATTCAGAAAAACAGAGCAAAAAATTTTTCTCATGAAAAATTAACTCGTTAATTCAGAAAAACAGAGCAAAATTTTTTTTTTCTCATGAAAAATTAACTCATTAATTCAGAAAAACAGAGCAAATTTTTTTTCTCATGAAAAATTAACTCGTTAATTCAGAAAAACAGAGTAGATTTTTTTTCTTCAAGTGAATGCAATACGCCTCCGTAAGAAGAAGCCATATTCAGTAATGTTATCAATTTAACTGCATCAGATCAGAGCGAATGTGGAACTGAATTGAGCTGTATGATGATGACACTAAAAAACAAAAGAATTGAACAGGACATTTTGAAGTGAAAATAGCATTATCTTTTAAAACATGCTCCAATAATCTTTATTTACAATGTTTATTAATCAAAAATCATTTCATAACTGAGCTGAATTGAAACAACACTGAACATAAAACATAGAACTGGTTTCATAACGTTTATGTTGCATAAAGCGCTGTATATGATGATGACTGACTGTTGTCTGCTTTGTTTCCTCGCTGTTCTCGTCCTCCTAAAGAGAGGTAAGCATGTCACTATGTTTCCCAATGCAATAGTCCATTATCAGGGTGTATATTCAGCAGGGTTCGTGATACCGCTTATGCTAAATGTGCCGTAATATAAAACCCTTTTTACAGAGTCCTCGTGTCTCTGATTCCACGTGTTCGTTGCACATTGTGTGGTGTACACTTCCCAACAACACACACACTCTTGAGATGATAGACGATCCGCGTTGGCTCTGGGAAGGGAAAGCTATATTGCGGATATCAGTGTCCGATCTAAATGCGATCCTGTCTCTTGTGTAGAGCCCCAGTTTAGCGTCGTTCTTTGAGTAAATCTGTTGTTACCGTTCAATAGAAACACTTCTATGACATCAAAACAAGGGTGTGTGTGTCGTTGACATAAAACACATTTGTTTTCTGATGTAGTGCTCTTCTTCATACTCTCATCTTTTACGTTGATTGAGTTTCTTGTGCCTCTTTGTGTGATTTTAATGCTTGTGTGTGTGTGTTCAGTGAAGACACAACTGACCTGGTGTTCGAGGAGTTTAAACGCTCTTATCTGAAAGGTATCATCGGCGAGGATGACGAATCTCCGGCTGAGCCTTGAGAGCCTTCTCCACGGACGACACGCATATAAGTGTTTTATGCTGGCAGAATCGTGCATATAAAGCATTAGTGGATGCATGTTGAGATTTTGTAGGGTTTTAATGCGAGAACTCATAAGCCAAGAACAACAAACTGGCCGGATTATCATAAATGACTCTGCTAGTAATTATATACACTCTTAAATGAAAAGGTTCTTTATGGAGTTATTCATATATATAGAAACTTCCCATCATGGGATAATTTTATGAATTTACTTTTAACTAAACAGCTCATAAAAATAAGTTATAACTAGAAAGAAAAAAATTTCGAACGTTTTTGCATAAAGAATTGAGAACCATTTTTAAGAGTGTATCTTTTAGTTAAATTAATTACACTTCTAGTTTATCTTTTAAATGACCCACAGTTGCTTAACATTTGCATTTTGATGTGTAAGATGTTTTTGAACCATAAAATCAAGTTTGTTTCAAGTGTAAACTCGGTTTAAAAGCTTCTTACTAATACAGTACATCATTTGTTCTTATTTGTCACAAATTGATGTATTACATATAGCAAATAATTTTGCAGTGAACATTTTAAAGAGGTAAATTCTGTTGTTATTTGCTCTGTAAATGCTTTGAGCTAAAATAAAACTATTTGTGAAGGTAAACAGCGACATGGTCTCTATACCCCAAAAGAGCAAAAGACTGGCCATTTTTATTGAATCCATCATTACAGAACTGTTAATGAAGCCCTAGGTAACATATATCATGTGGTAAAGACTTAAGCCACAAGTTCACACACAAATGTACTAATTCACTCTCAGAAAAAAAAGGTCAGAAGCTGTCACTGGGGCTGTAGCTTTTCAAAAGGTACACTTTTGTACCCAAAGGCTGCATATTGGTACCTTAGTGGTACATATTAGCACCTAAAATGTACATAGTAGTACCTAAAATGTACATATTACCACCTAAAATGTACATATCAACACTTAAAACGTACATATTAGCACCTAAAATGTACATAGTAGTACCTAAAATGTACATATTACCACCTAAAATGTACATATCAACACTTAAAATGTACATATTAGCACCTAAAATGTACATATTAACACCTTAAATGTACATTAGCACCTAAAATGTATTAGCACCAAAAATGTATAATTAGCACCTAAAATGTACATAGCACCTGAAATGTACATATTTGCACCTGAAATGTACATATTAGTACCTAAAATTGACAATAGTTTACCTTTTGAAAAGGTAGAGAGTGTATTGTGTTGAACTGCTGGACTTTAATGCATAACATAGAGTACCGAAGTTACGACGTCACTCTGTAGGCCAAAACGCGGAAGTGAGTTAGCATTTTTGCTCTTCCGGTCCGCTCCTATGGGATTTTTGAATGGGTTTTTGCTAAATCGCTTGAAATAAGGTCTGTGGTGATCAAAGCCTCTAAATATTTTCACGTTTTTATCTATAGAACACACAGTTATAACCTGCTTGTGTTTTTTAAACTTTATTGTGTCTGATTGTGTTTTTTAAAATCTTTATTTAGGCTTCAAAATGTATACATTTTGGATTAATTTCTAAAGATTATCTTGATAGACAAAACGTGTACGGGTCACAACTCTTTGTTAAACACAGATCGTATTTTTTTGCCATTTTCCAAAAGTCTATGGGGAAAATGCATTGCTTTTCGACCGAGGGAACCGCTAGCTTCCGAGTCGTCCTACAAAGTGAGGTCATCACTTCGACACTCTATTGGCAGCAGTCGATGAATAAAATTGATCAATCAAATTAAAATGTGCTGTTTTGCACAATTGTTGCATGTCCATGCTAATTTGAATGTTGTTTTTAACTTAGCATGTTAAAGCTTAGTTTAGCGTAACATGCTAAAGTCAGGTCTGAGTTGCTGACTAGTGTCCCAAATCAGTCACTTATGTAGACAGTTGAAGCAAGGCTGAACACTACATTTTGTACCTTTTTTTCTCCTGTGAATGTGCAAGATTTCCTATTCATTAAATGCTATAGGTAAATAAGTAGAAGAATGGCAATGTATTGTTTGCACTACAAACCACTGTGTTTCAGATTAAATATAAATTGAACTAGGCTCAATTTAAACATCGTCACGCCAAATAGGAAGGTTTCAAGGTTTAAACTTAAGGTTTAAACTTTTAAACTATTCCAACTTGTAGATTTTAAATCAAGATTGAATGATTTGTCTGAATCTTAGTGGTCCGGAAATCCTAGTTTTTGTTGAGGAAACCAAGGCGAGGCTAACTTGGCCTGCAAATATACATCATCCCATGCAGAACTCTGTTGTATTTCAAAATGGCTAAATTAGATCTTTCAATAAACATATTCTTAAACATGTCATGGATAGAAGTAAAAAAACCCCACAAAAAGTCAGATTATAGAATAGTTTCAAATTTATTGGAAATATAAGGGTAATCAATACACAGAGCATTGAGCATGAACACCATTGTTGTTGATTTTCATGTTGTGTGTCATAATGTGTCATGGTGGTTGCTAAAATTCACAGCGCCCCGGACAACATTTTTATGGATAGGCCCCCGCCCCAATGTTTAAAAGCAACACTGTAAGAGGTTCCCCATCATATTGTTGTGTGTCTGAATAATCCAAACTCAAAAGATATAAGCCCCACATAAACAGTCTCTCTCTAATAGGTGTTTAACACTTTTATTGTGTAAGACAACACCTCTCTTCTCTCAGATTACCTATTCTGAGACACGCAAACCATCCCAGCTTTCCTGTTCTCATTCCCACTTTTGCTCGTATCCTCAGTGTGTGTCCTTTGAATAGCTGATGATATAACAGCTGATTGGTGCGTTCCTGCTCATTTTACATTCTTTACAAACATCTGTGTCAGGGGAGCAACCTCCCGACTGATCTACACGGAAGGTACAATACAATACACTGTAAATAAACACCGATCACATCCACCTAGACTAATTCATGAGAAAGAGAAGGCTCTTCTTTCAGCCAAAGGTTCACTTCTACAAACAAACTACATTGAGTGGTCTTAAAATAGAAACTATGTGTAATGTAGAATATTATAGAAATACTTATAGGGTTAGGTGGAAGACTGGATCATTTTAGAGGTTTGTTAGAGGACAACATCATTTGGTTGAGAGTTTAGGGTGTAGGGGTTAGGGGTTTAGTTAGAAGTTTGGGGGAAATTTTAGAATGTTGGGTGTAGGTCAATTCCACATAACTTCATTTTTTCCCAATTATTCATGAAGTTGAATTACTCAATTTTAAAGCAATGGGATTCCTCACTTTTTTAAAGTTAAGTCAACTAGTCATTTTTATAGTGTAGAAGTTTGAGTGAAAGTTAGAATGTTGGGTGCAGGTCTAGGGAGTACATAAATGTTTAGGTTTAAAATGTTGGGTGAACAAAAAAAAAAAAATGGGCCAAGCCAAAAAATGGTCTTTTAATGGTCTTATCCCTTTTAATTCCAAATCACTGGTCAGGAAATTAGCAATCCCACAAATATTGAAGATAAAGTAACTTAGCAGAGAATAACCTTCCCCAATGTTCATACAGCTTTTTGCAGATAGAAGAGGAGTCAATGGCTTCAAACAGTTCGTGAAAAATGTCTCTCCGTTGATTTGAGTTTAATGTGACACCAAATATTCACTTTAGGGTTCAAAATTTGGACTCTGGCCAAAGATTAAATCATGAGCTTGATGGACCACTTAGTTGGTCGCCTTTGCAATTTGAGCAGGAGCATTGTTAAAAAAATAACTTCTGATCATTAAAATTTTTTTTAATTTGTTGGAAGCAAAAAATTCTGCAATATTCTTCTGTACTCCAAACCATTAAATGACTTTTCACAGTGAAACAGCAGCTAAAATGTCACTCTTCCTGCATGCTTCACTGTGATATTTCTCAGTATCTCTTCGGAGCATCACCATGCAACTCTTTCATTGTGATTCATGATTCCACACACAATTTCTCATATTCTTTGATGACAGCATTGGCAAGTAGTGCATTTGCTTAAATTTGGCTGATTTCTTAACCAAATTTGTGTTTAAGACAATTAAAAGCTTAGTGTTTAACCATTTTGGGCTTGGTCAATTTTAGTTTGAGTGAAAGTTTAGAAGGTTTAGGTTCGTAGTTAGAAGTTTGGGTTTAGAATTTTGAGTATTAGAAGTTTGGGTTTAGAATGTTGGGTGTAGTTAGAAGTTTGGGTTTAGAATGTTGAGTATTAGAAGTTTGGGTTTAGAATGTTGGGTGTAGTTAGAAGTTTGGGTTTAGAATGTTGAGTGAAGTTAGAAGTTTGGGTTTAGAATGTTGAGTATTAGAAGTTTGGATTTAGAATGTTGGGCATAGTTAGAAGTTTGGGTTTAGAATGTTGGGTGTAGTTCGAAGTTTGGGTTTAGAATGTTGGGCGTAGTTAGAAGTTTGGGTTTAGAATGTTGGGTGTAGTTAGAAGTTTGGGTTTAGAATGTTGGGTGTAGTTAGAAGTTTGGGTTTAGAATGTTGGGTGCAGGTCTAGGGAGTAGATAAATGTTTAGGTTTAGAATTGTGTGTGTAGGTTTAGGAGTGTAGTTAGAAGTTTGCTGGAAAGTTTACAATTCTGGCTGTAGGTTGATAGGTCTAGCGAAGTTAAAAGTTTTGGTAAAAGTTAAGAATGTTGGGTGTAGGGTTCAGGTTCAGGGAGTAGATACATTTTTCAGTTTAGATTGTTGGGTGTAGGTTTTACATTTTGGGTTACAGTTTTGAGGGTGTAGAGTAGACTAAGAATTTAGGGTGTAAGTCTACTCTAGGCCATGAGTTGCTGAACCTGCTCCTGGAGGGCTGCCTTCCTGCAGACTTTAGTTCCAACCCTGCTGTAACACACCTGCATGCTACCTGAGCACCTCGATTAGCTGCTTCAGGTACATTTAATTCGGGTTGAGCTAAACTCTGCAGAATAGCAGCCCTCCAGGAGCAAGGTTATCTACCACTGGTCTAAGCTGTAGATAAAAATTTGGGTGCTGGTTTAGAAAGTGGGGGTTGTTAAAGAGTTTAAGGAGTAGGTTAAGAGGGTACAGATGTAGGGCTTTATGGAGTTCCCCATGCGATATCTGTCTCGGGGAACACTTTCGGGATGGTAAAATCTCTTCCAAACATGTCATCACATCTGTCTGGGTACAACAGAAACCCGGTAAATGTGCTGGCGGACTCGGTGCCGGTGAACATGCCGTTAGTGGTGCTGTCTTTCACCTGCACCCACACCCAGTCACCCTGACTCAGACTCAGCACCACCTGCTGAGAGGCGATGTTCATTTCAACTGGCGTAGTTGTCCTCACCACGGCTTCAAAGTTGTGGAAGATGCCGACCTTGAGCATACGGGTGGACACTTGCAGATTGTAGCTAAACACATAGGTTCCGTTGACAGGGGCGGTGTAGACGCCATTGTCAGGGTTGTAGTGCTGGTTTATGTTGTAGATGGGGCGTCTGAAAGGCACTGGGCGGTTCGGTAGAGGATTGGAGGCGAGTAAAGCGGCAGAGAAAGCAGATTGCACGGCAGGTGAGCAAGGTCCAGGCATGCCTATCATTCCCATATCTCCCTGATTACCTTTAGGTCCTGTGGTTCCATTCGGACCCTGTGGCCCTGTCAAACCCAATTCCCCTTTATCACCCTTATCACCCTTTTGACCCTGAGCTCCTGGAGCACCATCACTACAATTGCACAAACCCTGTAGGCCTTGGTCACCCTTTTGCCCTGATTCACCTGGAATGCCAGGCACGCCTGGCACACCTGTATCGCCCTTCAGTCCTTTGGGACCGGGGTTTCCAGCCAGTCCAGGTAACCCACGTGCACCTGCAGGGCCGGGAAGACCCGGTGCACCATCTGCTCCTGGTATGGGCTCACAGGTTGCCGGGCATTGACCATCGTCTCCCTTTGGACCCTGTTCTCCTGTGGGACCATCTAGGCCACGGTCACCCTTGTCACCTGGGAAGCGCGTATGCAAACATGGTCACCAGGGCCCGTGAAAGACATTGTGTGAATGTTTATACAATAGTCTTACTGACCTTTCATCCCCCTGTCTCCTTTTGGTCCTGTTAACCCAGTGGGACCAGTGTCACCTTTATCTCCAATATCACCTTTTTCACCTGTGACGGTTAACACAGTTAATTTAAATTAACACCAGTGTTGGATAATAACAAGCGATCCAATGGTCTCAATGATCTTCTTCAGCTTATGATGCTTTTAGGATATGCATCAAAGATTAATCCACCTTCTTTTTAACATGAGAGCGGATGCAGACATTCTTAACTTGAATATGAAAGGCTTCCAGTGTCATCCAGGAATTTTTGCTGCTTGCAAACTGGTATATTTCTAATCTCTAACCCTTCCCAACATTTAAACCTAAACTTTTAACTAAACTCAACATTGTAAACCCAAACTTTTAACTTCACTCAACATTCTAAACCCAAACTTTTAACTTCACTCAACATTCTAAACCCAAACTTTTAACTACACCCAACATTCTAAACCCAAACTTCTAACTACACCCAAAATTTTAAACCCAACTTTTAACTACACTCAACATTCTAAACCCAAACTTTTAACTACACCCAACATTCTAAACCCAAACTTCTAACTACACCCAAAATTCTAAACCCAAACTTTTAACTTCACTCAACATTCTAAACCCAAACTTTTAACTTCACTCAACATTCTAAACCCAAACTTTTAACTTCACTCAACATTCTAAACCCAAACTTTTAACTTCACTCAACATTGTAAACCCAAACTTTTAACTTCACTCAACATTGTAAACCCAAACTTTTAACTACACTCAACATTCTAAACCCAAACTTTTAACTTCACTCAACATTCTAAACCCAAACTTTTAACTTCACTCAACATTCTAAACCCAAACTTTTAACTACACTCAACATTCTAAACCCAAACTTTTAACTTCACTCAACATTCTAAACCCAAACTTTTAACTTAACCCAACATTGTAAACCCAAACTTTTAACTTCACTCAACATTATAAACCCAAACTTTTAACTACACTCAACATTCTAAACCCAAACTTTTAACTTCACTCAACATTCTAAACCCAAACTTTTAACTTAACCCAACATTGTAAACCCAAACTTTTAACTTCACTCAACATTATAAACCCAAACTTCTAACTACACTCAACATTCTAAACCCAAACTTTTAACTTCACTCAACATTCTAAACCCAAACTTTTAACTACACCCAACATTCTAAACCCAAACTTCTAACTACACCCAAAATTCTAAACCCAAACTTTTAACTTCACTCAACATTCTAAACCCAAACTTTTAACTACACTCAACATTCTAAACCCAAACTTTTAACTTCACTCAACATTCTAAACCCAAACTTTTAACTTCACTCAACATTCTAAACCCAAACTTTTAACTTCACTCAACATTCTAAACCCAAACTTTTAACTTCACTCAACATTCTAAACCCAAACTTTTAACTACACCCAACATTCTAAACCCAAACGTTTAACTTCACTCAACATTCTAAACCCAAACTTTTAACTACACTCAACATTCTAAACCCAAACTTTTAACTTCACTCAACATTCTAAACCCAAACTTTTAACTTCACTCAACATTCTAAACCCAAACTTCTAACTACACTCAACATTCTAAACCCAAACTTTTAACTTCACTCAACATTCTAAACCCAAACTTTTAACTACACTCAACATTCTAAACCAAAACTTCTAACTTCACTCCTAAACCTACACCCAACATTCTAAACCCAAACTTCTAACTACACCCAAAATTTTAAACCCAAACTTCTAACTACACCCAAAATTTTAAACCCAAACTTTTAACTACACTCAACATTCTAAACCCAAACTTTTAACTTCACTCAACATTCTAAACCCAAACTTTTAACTTCACTCAACATTCTAAACCCAAACTTTTAACTTCACTCAACATTCTAAACCCAAACTTTTAACTTCACTCAACATTCTAAACCCAAACTTTTAACTTCACTCAACATTGTAAACCCAAACTTTTAACTTCACTCAACATTCTAAACCCAAACTTTTAACTTCACTCAACATTCTAAACCCAAACTTTTAACTTCACTCAACATTGTAAACCCAAACTTTTAACTACACTCAACATTCTAAACCCAAACATTTAACTTCACTCAACATTCTAAACCCAAACTTTTAACTACACCCAACATTCTAAACCAAAACTTCTAACTTCACTCCTAAACCTACACCCAACATTCTAAACCCAAACTTCTAACTACACTTCTAAACCTACACCCAACATTCTAAACCCAAACTTTTAACTACACCCAACATTCTAAACCAAAACTTCTAACTTCACTCCTAAACCTACACCCAACATTCTAAACCCAAACTTTTAACTACACCCAACATTCTAAACCCAAACTTCTAACTACACTCCTAAACCTACATCTAACATTCTAAACCTAAACTTCTAACTACACTCCTAAACCTACACCCAACATTCTAAACCCAAACTTCTAACTACACCCAAAATTTTAAACCCAAACTTTTAACTACACTCAACATTGTAAACCCAAACTTTTAACTTAACCCAACATTGTAAACCCAAACTTTTAACTACACTCAACATTCTAAACCCAAACTTCTAACTACACCCAACATTCTAAACCCAAACTTCTAACTACACCCAAAATTTTAAACCCAAACTTTTAACTACACTCAACATTGTAAACCCAAACTTTTAACTTAACCCAACATTGTAAACCCAAACTTTTAACTACACTCAACATTCTAAACCCAAACTTCTAACTACACCCAACATTCTAAACCCAAACTTTTAACTTCACTCAACTTTATAAACCCAAACTTCGAACTACACCCAACATTCTAAACCCAAACTTTTAACTTAACCCAACATTGTAAACCCAAACTTTTAACTTCACTCAACATTATAAACCCAAACTTCTAACTACACTCAACATTCTAAACCCAAACTTTTAACTTAACCCAACATTGTAAACCCAAACTTTTAACTTCACTCAACATTCTAAACCCAAACTTCTAACTTCACTCAACATTCTAAACCCAAACTTTTAACTTAACCCAACATTGTAAACCCAAACTTTTAACTTCACTCAACATTCTAAACCCAAACTTTTAACTTCACTCAACATTCTAAACCCAAACTTTTAACTTCACTCAACATTATAAACCCAAACTTCTAACTACACTCAACATTCTAAACCCAAACTTTTAACTTCACTCAACATTATAAACCCAAACTTTTAACTACACCCAAAATTATAAACCCAAACTTCTAACTACACTCAACATTGTAAACCCAAACTTCTAACTACACCCAACATTCTAAACCCAAACTTTTAACTTCGCTAAACTTTATAAACCCAAACTTTTAACTACACTTCTAAACCTACAACCAACATTCAAAACCTAAAGATCTATCTACTCCCAAGACCTACATCCAACACAAGAACATTTTTTGGGAATTAACTGCTAGTTTAAATGTGTAACTAAGTGAATTAGCTTCCCCAACACTGATGCACACACATTTATACTGAAGTCCAATGCATATTACGAGTCTCACCCTTTAAGCCAGGGCGTCCTGTGAATCCTGGACGGCCGGGAAGCCCAGTGAGCCCTCTTGGACCTGCACTACCAGGAGCTCCTGTGAGTAGCAGATGCGGTTAGTAAAACCTTTTACAAAATTAAACCAACAGAGAAAATATAATGGAGTTTAACTCAGTGTTTGTACCGTTCAATCCACGGTCGCCTCTGTCTCCTTTCTGGCCTCTGTTTCCGGAGCAAGCAGAGCAAATGCAGTACCAGGGCACTTGGTCCGCCGTGGGGGGAACTGGAGCATCCAGAATCATCTGACAATAAGATAAATCAGGCTCCGGTGCTCCTGATGAGAATGGTGGCACCATTGAGGCGTTGTCAGGCTGTAATCCTAACGACGTAGCGCGGAAGTCAGGAATAAAAGCACACTGTCCGAAAGACAGACAAGCCAACACCCCAACAATAATCCTCGTGTCCTGTAGACAATAATATAGAGTTTAATCTAAATCTCTTAAAAGACTCCAGTGGTTGGAACACTCTTAAAGATTAAGGTTCTTTATTGGCATTGAAGGTTCCATGAAGAAGCTTTCTGTTCCAAAAAAGATTTTTTAAATGTTCTTTTGGAACTTTTCTACACTCTAAAAAAGTGATCAGTTGACTTAACTTAAAGAAATCCAGTAAATCCGTTGCCTTAAAATTATTAAGTAAATAAACGTCACGCTTAATCAAAAAAAAAAATTAAATAATGTGGAATTTTCAAGTTCACATAACTTTTTCACATTACGTTTATTTACTTCATAATTTTAAGGCAACGGGTTTACTCTACAAATTTTAACTACACAATAAACCTACACTCATGGGCAAAAGTGAAGTGATTTAGTGAAGTGTGTTCTGTTTGGTTCAGCAAACCAGCAAAGCAAAGTCAAAGGATTATTGCATGCAGAAAAAGACACTAGCATTGTGAGTAACTATTTCACTCTCATCATTAAACAGCAATCACCAGACAAACAGACAGATTGATCACCCACCATGTTCCAGTGATGAAGCATCATGCTCTTCCTCAGTGTGTGAAAAAATCTCAATCGACTTATCATCTTATATACCCGCACCTGTGCGAGTGTGTTTGTGTTTTCGGCCACTGGGAGTTGGATTTTTTTCTCTCTCTCTCCATTCTCTGCGACCTCATTAGGCCCAGATTATCATGAGTAATAATAATACATAGGAGAAAGCCATTGTGTGCGTGACACAGCAGTGATAGCAGGCGCGGCTCCGCCAGGACCGTAACAGGAGAGAGTCAATGCCTCTCTGGAGATGCTTAATATTACAGGGAAGCATGGGAACACAGCAGTCCTCTGACACGATCCAGGTCACACTCACACACATACACACACTCACTCTTTCTGTAAGAAAACGCCACAATATTATCTTGAATATCTTGTCACATATCTTTATGGCATTGAAGAGTGTCCCATATAATGCAACAGTGCATTTGTTATTTTAAACTTTTATTTTGACAGCTGTAGCGTCACATTGTAGTGATAGCTGCGCCATTCATTTCATGCAGTTTTGACAGTCATTTTTCCTAGATTAATGAGCAGAAACAAGATTCAGTCAGTGTTGTGTTCCTGGAAAGGTGTAACACCGCGGATCTGTGCCGCTTTCAAAACATTTAGAGCATCTCGACCAAAATACAGACAGACAAAAAAAGTATTGTGTAGCTTGTATTTTTGTAATAGCCTAATAATAATAATAATAATAATAGTGTATTTATGTATTTTATTTATTTACGTTTGTATTTTTTTGTTGCTATTTTTATGTACATTTAATTTTAATCTATTTTTAATTTATTTTATTATTTTGTTTTTAAATATAGGCTATTGTGCCTTTCCCCAAGGTAAACCCCAAGGCCACTTTACAATGGAATAGAAACACCAATTTGTTAATTGTCTATTTTGTTATAGCTGTTTATGTTTTACAGATGTTATTTATTTACAGAATAGTTTTTTAAAAGACCAAAAAATAGCTAGGCCACACCCCTTTCTGCAATGTTAAGTCATGTTGGTATTTTTTTGTAACTGTATACTTAAGCGTTTGTGAATTTAAATACAAAGTGATTTAGTTAGTTTTTACCAAATGAAGGACAAATCTATTTTCAGAGGCTCTATAAGGAGAATAAGTCTATGTTGCACAAGTGAAATGCACAACATAATAGAAAGAGGTGCTTAATTTAAGGGTAACACTTTATTTTACAGTGTTCTTGTTACATATGTTACATGTTTATCATAGTAATTACATGCAACTAACCCTCAACCAAACCCTACCCTAACCCTATAGTAAGTAGCCTAATATTACGCAGCACTTTAACAATGACACCTTAAAATAAAGTGTAACCATTTATGGTTGTGGATCAGCAGAGGTGTGTTTTCAGCTGTTTCTTGAAAAAATATATAGTTAGTAGTTAGTTAATTAGTTTAGTTAGTTTACTTTATTGTCATTCAAACATGTTAGACATGAAGGAACGAAATTAGTTTCCCAGGTCCGGCAGCGTAATACAGAATAAATAACAATTCAATTCTCAGATAAACCCCAATAAAACGTATAAAATAGATTATATATATTACATTAAAATATCCTAACCATGAAACAATCAAAAACCATAACCCATCTGACTAATCATCATAAAAGTGTCATGTGCAGTTAAATATACATTTAAATAAATGTGAATTCCCTAATACGGCAAACATGCAGTAAACATACTTTTCTTCCGTAGAGCTGCTTTTAAAGTTGAACACTGACGCCGTTATTGAACTGAACTGAATCAACATAAAACTGAATATGATATCGTTAAAACGTTAACTAAAAATCACAAACATTTCTGCGCTGTAAAAAATATTTTCAAGATTTGTTATCACAACATATTTTCTTTTGTCAAATCAACTTTATAATAATTTATTTAGTTGAGATAACGTATTATTTTGAGTTTCTGATGGTTAAATGAATCTCCTTCATTGTATTAACTCACTTTTTCCAGTTCAATCAACTTAAAATTTTAAGGCAACCCGGGTTACTTACTTTTTTTGAGTTAAACCAACAATATTTTTTTACAGTGTAGTAATCACAACATTTTTTTCTTTTGTCAAATCAACTTAAATAATTTATTTAGTTCAGATAACATATAATTTTGAGTTTCTGATGGTCTCCTTCATTGTATTAACTCACTTTTTCCAGTTCAATGAACTTAAAATTTTAAGGCAACCAGGTTACTTACTTTTTTAAGTTAAACCATCAATATTTTTTTACAGTGTGTTAATCGCACATCATATGCACAGGATCGCTTTCCATCTGTTTTCTCCTCTATGTAAAAGAGTGATTTCCTGGAAAAGGTGTGTGTGTGAAACAGAGAACCATCCATATGTGTTTGTTCTGAAGTATTTACATCCTAATGTGTGTATCTGAGGAAGTATGCATTGGCTAGATGTGAAACACAGATGTGAAACTGGACACAGGAACACAAAGCCTGTTGACGGCACGCCCAGCTCCTGACCCTGTTTACTGTCCTGCATGTGCATCAGCGCTCATTCACACAGACTCTCTAAAACTGCAGTTCACTTCAGGCTTTATCGCTCTTTAAGAAAAGAAGAAAAGAAAAGAGAGGAGGCACGCTTTTATTGTTCACTTGTTGTCATTTTTACATTTATTCTTTATAGGAATAGTCCTTTAAATGATGAAACTATTGCACTACATTTAATCATTTAGCAGATGCCTTTATCCAAAGCCACTTACAAATGAGGAGGACAACATAGCAATCAAACCAGCAAGAGGGATACAGTAGAAGTGCTCAGTACACATAGCAAGGTTTATTGGTATTGTTTTAATCAGAATAGTATAGAAAAGCTAAGTGCTTGTATTAATTGGTCAGGGGCTGGTGAAAAAGATGAAATCACATATATAGACACACACATATATATATAGACTTATATAGTTTCATAGACGCAAAGTTGTTTTTTTCTTCATTTTTAACTTGGTCTCATTGTTTTAACATTTAATTTCTTTTTGATTGAAAGTGTGCCTATGCTATCTTTTTATTTTTATTTTTTTAAAGATAGCATACATTGCACTTGGGTTGATACATTTTCGTATCGAATGCAATTACATTTTTAAGTGTTTCCAAATATTTTGGTGGCCACTGTATTTTTCCCAGCTGTTGCGGCTCCTCTGGCCGGTAGGCGTCTCTCTCTCTCTCTCTCTCTCTCTCTCTCTCTCTCTCTCTGTGTAATAATGCCCGTATATAGTTTAGTTAAGCTGATTATTGACTTGGACGTTTTCAGATATAAATGGGGCATAAGCAAATGTGTTTGCGATGTTGACCCTGATGGAAGTTTTTTTGATTGTCAAGGAAAGAAAAAGCGGGAAAACCTTTTTTTTTTTTTTAGAAACGAGTGTTTGCGTTTCTAATATGCTATTTCACGTCTTGAGTCTGTTTTTAAATCCTTTTCGCTCTTTCTAGCTACTTTTTTTTTATAGCTTTTTACTAAAATGTTATATCCTAATGTTTTTGTAAGTGATCTTAAAGGGTTAGTTCACCCAAAAATGAAAATCAAGTCATTAATTACTCACCCCCATGCTGTACCAACCCCGTAAGACCTTCGTTCGTCTTCGGAACACAAATGAAGATATTTTTGATTAAATTTGAGAGCTGTATAACTACCACATTGGCTCCTAAGGGACTGCCTCTTGACGGCCCAAAAAGTCAATGAAGAAAATGTTTAAATATCCGAAGTGACTACCGTGGCTCAACTATATGTTTATCAAGCGACGCGAATACTTTTTGTGCGAAAAAACAAACAAAAATAATGAGTTTATTCGACTATTTCTTTTCTTCCTTGTAGGCCAGAACGAGAATTCCTTAGATTTCCACGACGCATGCGCGAGAATTGCGATCTAAGCTGGTGTAAGCAGATCGCAAATCTCGCGCATGCGTCGTGGAAATCTAAGGAATTCTCGTTCTGGCCTACAAGGAAGAAAAGAAATAGTCGAATAAACTCATTATTTTTGTTTGTTTTTTCGCACAAAAAGTATTCGCGTCGCTTGATACACATATAGTTGAGCCACGGTAGTCACTTCGGATATTTAAACATTTTCTTCATTGACTTTTTGGGCCGTCAAGAGGCAGTCCCTTAGGAGCCAATGTGGTAGTTATACAGCTCTCAAATTTAATCAAAAATATCTTCATTTGTGTTCCGAAGACGAACGAAGGTCTTACGGGGTTGGTACAGCATGGGGGTGAGTAATTAATGACTTAATTTTCATTTTTGGGTGAACTAACCCTTTAAGGCTCTCTGATCGCTCACTCTCTCCCTCCCTCTCTCCCCGGGGTGCAGTGTTCACTATGTCCGGTTGGCGTCGCTGCGCGGCCGGTCCCGCTGGAACACGTCTGTGCGAGCGTGTGTGTGTTTGTGTGTGTGTGTGTGAGTCCCGGGGGCTGGAGCTCAGGATGGCGGCGGTCGATGCTGCTGCTGCTGCTGCTGAGGCCGAGTCGTCGGACAGTGAACCGGAGCAGGAGCACGGGTCCCCGCAGAAACTCATTCGGAAGGTCTCCACGTCCGGTCAGATCCGGAGCAAGGTAATAAAACACGTGTATGTGTTTTTAGCGTTGATTTGCAAAGAGAAAAGCGCTTTAGATCGAGCGGCCCGTCCGAGATCCGCGACATTTCCTGCGTGTCCAAACCCTCCGGTACCGACCGACACGGACACCGGTCTCGGAAACGAGCGCGTGCGGGTATAACGGTACCGCGCGATACTGTGATATGAACGGACTGTGCGCGCGGCGCGCGTCCCTGCGTTCGAAATTCGAATGTTTGCCTTGCAACATTGTAACCGTTTGTTTGGAATCTTCGAGTTTGAAAATGAAACAGTGTAACGTTTTCAGTTCAATGGACGCGCAGCGGTTACTTTGAAACACAAATTACCCTTTCCTCCTCCTACTACATTGTTTAACTACAGTAAACTGTGGTAAATATAGATAACTTACACAAAGAAGAAAAGAAAAAATGGAGAAAA